AGAAGATGTTAGTGTAGAGAGGCTTATTTTTGCTCCTTAATGTTTTTAGATTTGGTTAGAAGTTCATTAAAGTACTTCAGGAATTGCAGTCACTGAAGTAAAACTCTTTCTCTAGAAGAAAGATTATTTCCAGTCAAACTAAGAAAAATTATTTAAAACCTAGACAAGAGTATTTGGGTTTTTTTCAGTATCTGAAGAGCTTTTGAATTCTTCCTGAATAGAGAGTGATGAATTTTACAGCAGCCACTATCATTGTAGAGTGCCTTCCTTGGCAGACTTCTGGAGGAAAAGAGGGAGTTGCTAGTTTTGATTACTTCCATAGGAATTTGAATCTGTGTCTAAATGTTGTTACAATTGCAACAGAAACAGCCAAAATGTCTTTTAAATGTGGTTATTTTAGTGACAGTCCAAGCTATGAAAGATGAGAAGTTAGAAAGAACAACCTACTGAGCAGACAGAAATCTTAGCATGTTGAAATCAATGACTTTTCTGAAATCCTTAGTCTTTCAGAATACTTGCCACCTCAGAAATTTGGAATGCAATTGCAAGGATACCCTGATAGCTTATATCAAAAGATGATAGAAATGTAGGAGACATCCTGGAGTAGCAGGCCACGAGGATGGCCTGGTCATACCCTTTGGTTACACCACGGGCCCGGGGCTGGAACAACAGGAGCTGATAATGTTTTCCTCACCTTCGTGGAAATGCTAACCTAATTTGGTTCTCAGGCTTGCAGTAGGAGGGGGAATGGTGGTGGGTAAATGATGCTGTTAATAAATCATGAGGGTTTTGTTCTCCCAGTAGTTAATTTGTAGCATTCCCATGAATGCGAATGTTAAAGTTTAACAGTGAGACTGACAAATGCTTTATTCAGTTACTTGACTTGAATGATTTAGGAGAAATATTCAAATGTTACAGTAATCAGTGGATAGCACAGGAACAGATGGAAAACCATTGCCTACTGAACAAATATGAACAAGAATAGAGGCGAGAAACATTTCTGGGGTTGATCTGGACTTTTAGACAGTTTGAATAAATGGAATGTAGAGGGACCTACAGTCTGCAATCTGCAACGGAGAACTAGCACAAATTAATTCCTGTTTCTTACATAGTAGCTGTTGTTGAAAAGGGTTAGAAAATATCCAATCTTAATGTGGAATTTCACTGAGAGAATTTCCTTTAATTCTTAATAAATTTCTGCCATGTACTACATAGTAGGGAAGAGGACAGTGCATGGAAGTTGGAAGAGGAGGGAGAGTAGGTGAGTGCTGCAACTTCTGCCTCGTTTAAAGGGTGCTGTGACCAACCTGGCAAGTATGCAGTGCAGACACCAGCGGATCCTCAGTAACTGCCTGGCTACAAGCTCTGATTTCAGCTGTGGGACAAGTACCTTGCAGATGGCTCTCTCTTCACAGATGTTTCACTTCAGCTTGTGGTGTCAGTTTCTAACTGTTCTGCTGTGTGGTTCTCAGCAGTCCTTCAGAAGAATGTGCTGTGTGTGTGGATCTGTACTTCCAGCTCAGAATGCAGGAAGGAGGACTAAGGCAGATGGGATATGCAGTAGAGGAGTGCAGGGGTAGCTTTCTGGAGCAGGGTTGTGCCGTAAGAGAGTAAGGGGCAGTGTAAGCATGGCCAAAGGCCCTGGCCTGTGGCATCAAAGTAGCAAGCATGTGTTTATGTCAGGTCCCAGGGGAAGATGGACAAGTGGGAGAAAAGGGAAGTGGCAGTGTTTGAGAGCTGGAGCTGTGTGCTGCTTTAATAGTGGGAAAGATGGGCATGAGATCCTACTTCAAAGAAGGAATAAGAGGATAGATAAAGGTGCAGGATACTGTGTGGAGGTCAGTGCAGTAAAGGAATGGGGAATGTGAAGTTGGTCCATGATACTTTGGTCCTTTTCTGATTGTTACATGGTCAGAAATCACTGTGGGTATCCTCTCTGTTAAATATTATGCAAATGTACTTTAAAAAGAGGAAAAATGTCAAAATTAATATAATTGTGGCTTTTATTTATAACCAATGCAATTATAATTAAAGAATAATTAAAAGAAAACATAATTGGAGAAAGAAGAAAAAGCTGTGATATGCTTCACTTGGGCATGTTCAAGTCGCAGGCAGAGAGCTGTGAATTGCTCCTGGTGCTGTAGGCAATGGTGGGTTCTCCAGTAACTGTGGCAACATGTGTAACAGACTGAAGAGCCTGACACTATTAACATTCTTTCATCGTGAGTACAAGGCTGATTAAATTAATTCTAAACTGTCTCTTTGATAAAATGCATAGTTTGAATCCCTGCATTCTGTAGTATAAGGTCTCTTTTGTCATCCTTTAATCATATTCAAATCTTCCCAGAGCATTCCTCGTGTTGTCAGTTGCTTCTTGAAGACTCTGCTAGACAGAGCATTTGAACAGTGATCATAATTGTGTCAAGTACAAAAATAAAGTCTGCCTGTTCCTCCTTGATGTTGCTGTTTATGTGTCAGCTGTTCTAGCCAGTGTTCTGGTGAACCTGACTTGCATCTCTAGGTTGTTACCCAAGCTGAGCATCCCTGAATTGTGTGCTCACAGTGTGTGTTTGGCATGCTGCTGCCTTTGTTCCTGGTGTGCAGTTACATTTTATTCTATTGAACTGCACATCACTGATCACCTTTTTACCAGACAATGTAGACTGTTCTGTCTTCTCTATTATTTGACAGTCTCCCAGCCTTTGTTTTTACCTGCAAGTTCTATCAGTATATTTGGTACATACAAGTCATTCTTTGTCTCCCTTCCCATCTCCGTTTCTTTCCTGCCTCTCTTCCCTCCATCCCAGTTACATAAGGCTAATGCCACAACTTTGTGAGACCCACTAGAAAGCTCATATAACAAATTAACTTTTTAGCAGCCCTATTCTCTTGCTTTTCACATCTGTCATTTGAAATCAAATCAATGGTGATATATATGAAAACATCACACTGTAAACCCTAGGATCTGAAAACAGGCATACTGGTTGCTTTTCCAGTTCCCCTGTGAAATGCAGCATAGCATGGAGATGTAGACTGGTAACTTCTTCAATCCACACAGCCAAACCTAGCACAACTTGGAACCCAAATCAAAGTCACTTGCCAATCACATATATTGAGAAACACATTTTGTGGAACTTGTCTTTTTTATCTTTTTTTTTTTTTTTAATTGCATTTAAATATGCTGAAATGCTTTAGTATCTGCTTTTTCAATCAAAGTGTTAGGTGATAGGCTATATAACTAAGGGTAACATCATTATTGCTGTCCATCAGGAAAAACTTGTGGGCTCACCAAAAGTGTCAAAAAAGATGCATTAAATCCTTAATAAATATTAAATAAGGAGTGTGATAAGTATAATAATTTTGACAAGAATTGTGACAACTCTAATACTATTTTCCATTTACTAATTCAGTAATCTAATCTTGTATTAATTGATTTGCCTGGTACTGGTGCTGGTCTGTAGCTAACAAACCTCAGATTGCCCAGCTCATCCTGCTGGAATAATGGAACAACTTTATTCGACCTTTTTAGGAATCTCTTGAGTTTTTCAAGAATTATTAAAATTTTCACAAAGTACAATGCAGTAATAAATTTCATAGTCCCTAGGAAGTTATTATATTAAGACTTGAAATATATGCAGATCATTTCAGCAGGGAAAAAGCTGTTAGAAATGTTATTGTGTTGGTATGGTAACGATTGCATTAATCAAATTATTAAATTTAATAAATAAAATCAAAAGTGCACTAAAAATACAATTTTAAATGACATTTCATCCTCAGTTTGGTTTTAGATGTTTTCTGTAAATTATCAATAATAAATACCTGTCTTACATGTGTAGATTGATTGTGGTATATCTTTATTACTGCTTGAGCCAGATCTGTTTGGCCTCCTGAATTCTGTTTGGAAAATGTTTTATCACTAATTTAATAGCTGCCTGGTGCAACAGGTCAGAAGTTTCTACAGATTTTTAGGCTTCTTTCATGTACTGTGCGTGTTTTCCTGTAAGTGTTTGTTTCTCCCTGCAAACTGGTGCATCTGTACACAAATTTGTACACTCTTTGATGTTTCTGGTATTGCTGTTTTTACAAGGACATTAAGATGCTAATCCAAAAACATCTTTGATCCAGGGTTTGACATGAGTTCTCACTCCCAAACTATTTAAAAATAAAAATACCTGCTCCTTATGGTCACTTTCCCTTTCCTAGCATCTGACTGCAGTTCCTTCCCTCTATACTTTCAGCTGGCATGTAACTGTAAAGCTGGTATACCTATTATTCATCACAGAAGAACAGGAACAAAAAGTGGGAAGTGAGGAGGGAGCTTTCTCAGGCACCTCTGCTGCTGGTGAGATGAAGTCTCTGTCAGCTTCACAGCTGCCTTCTGTCTCCAGTCATCATTTGCTCCTCACTGCATTTAAAACTTCCACCTCAGCTGTATATATCTAGCTGATTTCAGGCTGTGTTCTAGTTGTGTGGGATGTAGGCTGACATTTTTAAAGAGTTCTTTTTTCAAAATTGATTATTGGTTATGCCTGCAAGGCAATCAGCCCCATGTGTCTTTACATAAGCATCATTATAAGAGCAAAGCTTGCTTTTATTACTTTTCCTACTTTGACCAAAATATAGTACTCCATTGAAAGCTACTTTATATATTTTGCCTGTATGTGAGATTTTAACAGTGCAAATATATTTACTTGAGATTGCGCTTCTTCATCTTTGTTATCAATAAAATTATGTCAGCAGAAGTGTCTGCAGAGGTATAAGCATTTAGAGTGAGCTTAGCTTATTTGGAAAAATCAGTGTAATAAAGGTGGTTGTCAGAAAGATTATTATATATTTATATATTCAAACGAAACACTTCTATTTTTTGACCTGTGATTCCTAAATTCTGACTAAAACCAAAACATGGTGTAGAAGGTGTCTGATCCCATCTGATCAGATTATCTGTGGAAGTCTGTTGATCTGACTAATTTGTTTTTTTGCATTTGTTTTATTCTGAAAAGCTTTTTTGCTAAGCTCTGCTGATGGCAATAATGGAACTGTTAACTGGACGACTAAGCGAGCCCACAGTTATGTTATCAGCAGAATAAAGGCTGTTCAGAAGAATGGTGAGTTTAGGTTGTAAATTTGAATACCCTGTTGGTTCAAGCAAACCTGCTTTTAATATTACTCTTGCTTTTCCAGTCATGTCCTTGTTTTAGGAGTAGGGTGCTATTTTAAGGTAGGTAATTTGGATAACTTTACATTTCTTCAATCTTCAAATATTCACAGACCTGCGTGTTCTTGTCAGTCTTCCCTGACTTTTCCTGTTCCTGTAGCTTTGCTTGAAATAATGGCTGTGTTTATACCTAACACTTCACATTTTCTTATCATGGCTGGTTGCTTGAAGATACCTCTGCAGTTTGCTTAATACAATAACTTCTCTGTAACAATTTAAAAATTTTTATCACACATGAATGTAAAAAGACTATTTCACTGTCATTTTTACAAGTGCACATTAAATACTGTAGCTAGTGCACACTGGCTGAGAAGAAGCTTTGCACTGATTGCTCATCTAGACAGGCAATCTGGATTGGCCTCCAGATCAAGTTATTTCTGGGATTGTTCTTCATCTGCTGAATATCAGTGGGGAGAAAACCAATTGAAATTTCTAGGAGAAAGCCAGACTTCCAGGTGAATTCTTTCCTGAGGATCATTGGCATACAGGCTGCAATCAACATGGTGAAACTTCTGAAATTTCTGGAGATGGGAGTTTTCTGTTTCTGGTAACAGACTCTGGGATGCAGGCTGATAAAATCCTGTCTGAATGCCTGGCTGTGCCTATGTTCAAGACCTATAAGGAGATCTTGGGATCTACATACAGAAAGTCCTCCAAGTGATCTGGAAACAAGAGGAAAGCAGTGCTGTCAAGGCAGCTGATTATACCAGGGATCTGATGTGATCCTAAGTAATGAAAATTTTTAATTTCTCATGATTAGTTTTACAGAAGCTTTTCACAGTCCATGAGACTTTTATCTACCACAGGGAATTTGTCCCAGGCAATTCACAGCTGGCAGTCTGCTGTGTTAGATTAGTGTCTCTTTGTTAAGTATATTCAGTTTTGTCCCTAGATCACCCAAGATGATGATTACACATTCATCTCCAGTCTCGAACAGTCTCACAAAAATAATCATGGGTTTTAAAGGCTTGTGAAGAAAGTAACATTTCACTTGTTTCATCATTGAAAACCTAGTGATAGCTGTAGTGGACTGAGGACTTATCATTTTCCTTTGGTTTTGAAGAAACTTCCTTGGGGAAAAACAAGGAGGGCAAGAATTTTTGAGTTCTTAATCACCATACTTGTGATATTATGATGTGTTTGTCATTACAAGATAAAACAGGTTTCTGGGTTTTTTCCTTCTGAGAGATATTTCCAGACTTCCACCAAGATCAATATTTTATATCTGCATCAAATCCTTTCTGGCACACTTATTTCAGCAGCAGGGAATGTTTCATTGCTAGGAATGGGCAGGCATTTAGTGGTGGTAATAGGTTTCCTATAGCAGACAAAATAAGCATTATATGTTGTTTTTTAGTAACTGTTGATTCTATTATGCTTGTTTCGTTCTGAAAGAATTACTTATGGAGGAAAAATACACATTACTTTTTCACTGTTCTTCCTGTTTGAAATGGATTTCATTGTAGAGGAAAAGCATCAGAAATGGAAAAATTAACTTCTCTAGGCATTTGATGCATTTTCAGCTAGCCACCATATTTTTTCAGTTCTTTTTTCTTTTAATGTTACTTTTTCAGCTTTTCTTGAAAATATTTGAAAGGAAATTAATTAACTTCCTTGTGCTGTTTACACCTCATTCACAAAATTGAGTGCAGAGGTTTTTTGGATAACAGTTTACTAGTTTTAAGTTAATAAATAAATGATCTTACTGTATGTAAGTCTACATTATGAAAATTACAGTAACTGGTTTATTAACCACATGAAATTGTAACAACTCAAATTTCAGGATCATTTTAATTTTGTCACTAAGATAAAACTGTTAGGAAGGTGTTCTATTCAGTTTTGTGTTAAAAGTGGTTTTCAAATATGGGAAAAAACAAATGCTGTGGAATGTGATCAGTAGTATATTCAGAGCTATTCATTCTGCAACATTAAGCTTGAAGAGCTGGCAGCATGTAATTAAATGCAGAGGTCTACATTACAGATGTCTGCATCTCCTCTCAGGTGCCTCTGCAGTGCATGGAGATCTAGTCAGTGTAGCCTGGAATCTAGGACATGATTCATCTCATTTTACAGGAGAAATCAAATTAATCAACCACTAGAAGCGTCTGTTTCTTCTCCACTGACTATAAAAGGAGCCTGACTAACTCAGTGGTGGATGTTGTTTCTGTAGGCATCTAAAATTAGGTGAGAGAGATTCCACTCAAGAGTACGTGGTGTGAGAGCTTGAATGCCTGTGATTAATGCCTAATTAGTGGTGCCTTTTTAAACAGATCTCAACTAAGAAAGTTGGTGTAATTATAAGGCTGGAGAAATGATACCAGGATTAAAAAATTATACCAGCATTAAAAAATTACATTAACTTTATCCACATTTCAAATGTGTCCTGCTTATTCATCCAAGTGTTGAAATTAGCCCCTCTGGGACCTACAAGTTTGTTCCCAAGAGTTTTTTACAATGATTCTGAAGTGTCTTTTCGAGTCTGTCTTCCTAGTGACAGCATCTCCATGCTGTATGGTCTGTAATTTGTTTTTGGAGATGTGATTCCTCATGGAGGATTCCTCAAGTTTGGCAAGCAAGGCTGGAGCTGCATGTGGTTTTCTGTGGCTTACCATCTTTATCTGCTACTTTTGTAATCTTCATCTCACTGACAAAATCTATTACCAATGATCAATTCTTTCAGGGCATTAAATTAAAATTCAATAGTAATAAAATTAGTAATGCAAACTACAATCAATCTTATTAAGATGCTATGAGAAACACCTATTAAAGCAGTATTCTTTGTTTATGCTTACATTTTGAAACTTGTTATTAAAGTGGCTTCTAAACCACCTAATTTATTGTAGTCATTTCTTCATTCTTCTATGTCATTAAAATATGTATATAGTTCTGCATCAAATGTGTTATACCTAAAAAGCTATGCCCTTATCAATGAATTTTGTACTAAATAAAAAAAAATCTTACTGCTTTTACATATGCTGATTGTTCTGAATAAAGTTTTCTTTAGGTTTTTGATACTCAGTCCTTTAAAACATGGCTTCACTTTTTTTTGTTTGGAATCGGTTTCAGCTGACTGGCCTATAAATACCCTTGTTCTTTTGTGTTATCCTTCAATACAAGCCTAACATCTTCAGTAATGAGCTCTCTAATTGAAGTTTGAGATGTATTTTACCTGGGTGGTCTGAGAAAGTCTAGCTTTAAGAACTCATAGCAATTCCCTTCTGATTTTTATGTCCTTTTCTGCACAAGAACTGAAAAATTTTTGTTCAGTGGTGAATGAGAACTGTTGATTGGTAAGGTTCTTTTGTATTCCTCAGTTGCTTTCTTTATGTAAAATATCAGGAAAACATGATTGTATAATTAATTTATTGTACTTTTATTAAAGTAATATTACAAATAAACCAACTACAAAATTGTAATAGCCGTCCTCATTTTTTAATTACAATAAAAATAAAGATTCAACTTTTGAAATCTTAACATATGCAGTTTAGTTTATTGCAATCTTGGAAAGGATCCTGTTGGGCAAAGAGAGGGTTTGCTCTGTGTTCTGTTCTTAAATCTATGTAACCTTTTAAAAACCTTATTAACAGGTGTCCAATATTTGTTGCTTTCCTTCTCCCAGATGCCTGCATTGCTGTTGAAATGCATGAAGTTATCTAGAGCATGTTTCATTTTTGCCTTTTTTCTGTCTCTTATCTCTCCTTCTGCTTTTCAGTGTACACAATTCTGTCTAAGGTGCACTCTGATCGGAATGTATACCCTTCTGCTGGAGTTCTGTTTGTTCATGTTTTGGAGAGAGAGTACTTTAAGGGGGAATTTCCTCCTTACCCAAAGCCTGGTATGAAATGTTAAGATCTTCCATATTATATGCAAATACAGAAAAAATATTGTTATAAAAAATTGAAGTCTGTTTAGAATGCTTTGTGGTTCAACATATAAGATAAACAAGACAGGTTTTAGTTTCTATTGAAATATCTTCAAATGAAATAAAACGTGTAGTCCTACACTTCTAAAATATTCTAGTTTGTGATCATTTGTGGAAAGATGCATATAATTGTATACTGTGAAAAATGTACTCTATTTGGGAAGGTGAAGTAACACATTATATCTGATATTAAGTAGTGCTCCTTCACTTTTGCATTAAATATGAAATTGTGGAAATTTATTAATTATGTCTGTTAAAAATGCTATTTATCTGGTCATTGTTTCAGACATAGTATGTATCAGGCTATATGAAGGAGTAATTTGAAACCATATAGTAAACATAACGTAGAAGATTAAATCAAATATGAGACTTCATAATACTGTTTTCTTTCATTTTAAAAACCAGTCCTTTAGCTTCAGCCTTCTTCCTTTATTTAGGAACAGTTTAATGTTAGTAAACAGCTTGGTTTTAGAGAAGGAGCTGTGGTTTCCTAAATATGGTTTTGCCATGCTCTGAAGCTAAAAGACTGGTCACCATAGGTTAGAATATGTGTAAGCAATCTGGTAGGGGTGGGAAGAGAGAGAGCATTCAGCCACACATATTTATCAACAATGAAAAGAAATAAATATATCCAACTTATATAAATATGACAATTTTCTTATAAGAATAAGAAAAACCTATGTACAGTGCACGCATAATCAATTTCGTAATAGAAATAATCTGTTTCAATAATGAAGTTTGGAATTGATTTGAAAGTGCTATTACTGAGACTCACTTTTTTAAAAAAAAAAAAAAGCTTCTGTTAGCATTGGTTAAATTTTGAGTAAACATGAGTCAACCCTAAAAGTTTTAAAAATTTCTTCTCTTTGTAAAATGTCTGTTTTCCCTGGCATGGATACCCAAGTCCTCATTTATGTCATGGTGACTGGCAGAGTGAAGTTTGTGCCAGTTTTCTCTCAGTTTTGGCACATAAGTAGAAAGAATTTTGAAATTTTCCTAATGATGGATTGTCTTACAGTGGCAGCCTCTTGACATTTGTGTGATGCCAAGGCATCTGGTTTCAGATCCTGTTGGAATTGCCCCACAGACAGTCGTGATTATGTCAGAAATTCACTGTGAGGTCAAGTGTTGTCATGGTACTTTAATTTTTGTCTGCTGAGCTGGATCATTACCATGGCCTACCTTGATGAAGGAAGGGCAAACCAGAATGTCTCACAGGTTGCTTTCAGAATTTTCCCCAAATCATTTGTGGTACTGGGAATTTTAGACCAGGGTGCTAGTAATGCCAGGTTGTGGGTTCAAGCTCTGTACGTGCCATGCACTTAAGAGCTGTACTGCATGATCCTTGTGGGTCTCTTCCAGCTCATATTCTGTAATTCTGAATTTTGTGATTCTGACTGCAATAGATTAGATTACTGGGAGTTCTGAGAGAATTGTGAGGAAGTTGTGTTATATTCAAGTACTGTTTTGGTCTGATTCTGGTTCATTTTATTCAACCAGATGTGTAAATGTGTACCTGAAGACTAGTCACCCTTGGGCAACACATCTTGCTCTCTTTGTCCCTCTCTGGAGAAGATGACAGCTGTTCTTTCTTCTTTGGGCTTGGTTTCTGCTTTCTGTGCCAGCCTGGCTGTTACCTTCTTTCATCACTTGTCTTACAGTGCTGTTGCCCTCTCAAAGCTGAGTTGGAGTGGAGGGCAGGAGGTGTCTGTGTAGGCTCAGAATGGATTTGACTTGAGTTCTGTGTCTTAGCTGGACACTGCCTTGATGGTGAGGATTTGGTAGTGTTCAGGCCTGATTTCATTTACAAGAGCTAAAATAAACTGAAGTAGATTCTAGACATTTATAAGAGTATCAATAAGAACCACAAGAACTGATGTTATGGTTTGACTTGAGGGACTTCTACAGATTTCAGCTGGACCACTGTATTGGAGCTATCAGTGGCTCCAGTTCAAGGAATGGAGGATCCTTTTTTGAATTAATTTTTTCTCTAAATTAAAATGACTGCCAGGCTGTTGGTGCCAAAAAAACTGTATGTGTATCCTAATGCTAACAGAAGCTTTCAGACATTATTGATTACACAGCCACTCTTTACAGTACATTGAATACCTGAATCCATCATTAAAAACTTAAATAAAAGGAAGTTGTGAGGGGGAATTAAAGGACTGAAACCTTTGTGCTTTTGTCTGTAAGGAGGTTAGGTGCTTCCATTTGAGGTGGAACTGGTCTAAAAATCAGACCCACTAGTTACTGAACATGAGCACTTAGCCAAGACTCTAGGAAGTACCTGCACATTATGTCTGCAGTTAGTTACACTTTCCAGGTATGAATTTCTTGATGCCTATAAGTGCTGAGTAATAACAGTGACCTCATCTCTTAAGTGAACTCACTTATTTCTGATATGGTAAAGGTTAGCAAATTTCAATTGTTTTTTTTTTCTTCTTAGAAAGGTTCAGAAAACAAGTGAAAGCAGCAGAGTAAGACTTCCTAGTTGAAAAGTTTAAATCAAAGCATTTAGCATTTCCTTGTAAATATTCTAATATAATTTCTCTCATCTAGGTGAAATAAGTAATGATCCTATAACATTTAATACCAATTTAATGGGTTACCCTGACAGACCTGGATGGCTACGCTACATACAAAGGACACCATACAGTGATGGAGTGCTGTATGGCTCACCAACTGTAGAAAACGTGGGCAAGCCAACCATCATTGAGGTATTTGCTTTCAAAAGTTCAAAAATATGTATTTTGATTTAGAGTATGAGTTTCAGAACTGTCAACAAGTTCTCCCTTGTTTTTGAAAAGTTAATTACTATTCATATTGAAGTTTTATTCAAAATATAGAGCAAAAAACCTTTGTAAACAACTGTACTTGGAGAATAACTGAATCGTAACTTTGTAACGTTATACCTAAATACAGGTCAGACTTTTCCTCACTAGATGAAAGTGTTCAGTCAATAAGCAGTTGTGGGGTTTTTTTTCTTGTGTAAATGTTTGATTTTGTGTTTTGGTTTGATTGGTTTGGGTTTTTTTAAATTATTTTTCATCAAACATCCCTCTGTTCATTATTCATGTTTATTGATTTGTTTTACTTTAGTTAGCACTTTCATGAATTTAATTCTTACACATGTAACAATGACAAAACTGTATTTTTGAGACTTAGCTATTCAAATATATAAAAGCACTAGTTATTCATTGAGCAACAATTCAAAAGGGAAAAGGGACAATATTTTCTACCATGTATTTCATAGACAGCAGGCTGAATAAGAGACTGTGTGGTTCAGAGTGTTAAGAAATTTGCACATTAACTTGCTCCAACCATTTTGCTGCTTCAGCATATATTTGTCTTAAACCCTTGATGAATATATTTTTTTTCTAAATTTTATTTGATGTAGTTTCTCTTCCTCAAGCATGACAGCTCTGAATGTTAAGTTATATTATAGATAGTTCCACCCATGCTTAATTTTGTATACATGATTCTGTTTTGATTTCAGCAGGACTAATAACATTTGAGAATTGATCATGTGCAGAAGTTCTTGCAGGCTTTGCTTAGTTTTATGTGGAGGAAACCATTATTTGAAGTTGCCAGTTTTTAAATAGTATGTGCTTTTAGCTTCTAGGATCTATATCGAGACCTCCATTCTAAGCATGACCTCAAGCCATATTTGAAGTAAATCTTGCCTAGCATATAAAATTAATTCCTTGCAGTTCCAGTCTTAGATATGGCTTTTGAATTAATTTTGCAGTATGTGAGGAGAGCAGATGGCATTTGATCCTCTTCCTAGTGCCTTCTGACAGGAGTGACTGCATATTTCTGGCCTGAATATAACTTCCATCATGTTATAATTCCTGAGGGAATAGCATGAGGAGGTCACTTAACTGGAGGAGACCTCCTGATTAGGAGAGGCTAGCATTCTGCATTAGCACTGCAGCAGAGCAGGTAACACTCTTGAGCTCAAGCTCCTTTGAAAGCTGTGCAAAGACAGTTTGTGTTTGAATGAATATTCAGGACAGAGGCAATCTCTGCCATTCCTTGGTGTGATGCATGGGCTACGCTGGCAGCTCCCACTGCTGGAGTGCAGGTTCACAGTGGGTGCTGCCCTGCTCCTGTACAGAGCTTGTACAAAAAGGGGGTTTGTTGAAAAAGGGGGTGCTAGTGGTTCAACTGCTGGTGAAGCAACCCTTTGAAAAATTAGCTGAATTAGGACTAGAGAAATCTGTTAATTTTATAGTGAAATTGTAACGTTAAATGAGATCTGATTGTGTTGAGTAAGCTTTTCCCTCTCCATTTAAACCTGCGTAGATACTCTGCAGCATTTTTCCTTTTCGTTCAAATACTTAAAAGAAATGCAACATCTGTTACTTTTATTTATTTAATAGTGTGACAGTGGTTTGTGGCTCTGTTTGCTGAGAAGCAACATAGTTCTGTCACTGTTGTCACTCCTCTGCCTCTCCTTTGGTCTCAAAATGAATGAAATGAAAATTAAAATTAAAAACTTTTCTGTTTGTTTCATGAAAGATTTATCACCTTGCAGGGATAAAAAAGGTAGAGAAGATAATACATAATTATTCTGATATCCAGCCTTGTTCTTATGAATTCATATTTCTTATATGAATGAGCACTTAATCGTAGTACAACCTTGGAGTACAGTCACCACTGAGAAGTAACCGCTTGCATGCATTTCAGGTATCCTAGATATTTTAACTTTTAGATTTTTTTTTTTAAAAACTACTTGTGTTGGAGCATTATTTTGAGTCCATTCATGGAGTGAGACTTCACTGGATCCAGAGCTAAAACTAAATAGCAGACCCAAAGATGAGAATTCCTGGCATCCCAACACTTTTTCCTGTAAAAAACCTCTCCATGTAGTTTATTTCCTAGGAGCTGTCAATGAATTTAGCTCTTACAGAATTGATGGAGGGGGGTTGGAGGCTGCATGGGGAAATGGAGAAACCAATCTGTCCTTATGGTGGTTCTTAAAGATAACAGAAGATAAAGAATACACATGTATAGCAGAACACTTTCATCAGGACCAGAAGATATTATTTTTACATATATCCCTTAGTTAATTGTATTTGGCTATAGACTGGTCAAGAAAGTACCAATATCCTGACTTGAAGGTAGTACTGCATTAAATAAATTACCTTACCTTTCAAATTTTATATCAGTGAATGAATGTTCATAGGTTGCAAAATAAGGAGGCAAGGTACTTAAAAGCGAGTAAGTATTTCTCAGTTACCAATTTAACTTTCACTGATGTTTCATTTATATAATTTTAATTTTTGCATTGTTTTGTGATGTTATCTTTTTCACTCTAGATCACTGCATATAACAGGCGTACCTTTGAAACAGCAAGACACAATTTGATCATTAATATAATGTCAGCAGAAGGTATGTACAGAATATGGCTGATTGTATTTTTAACTGAATCAGCAACACCTTCTTATGGGCTCCTGCTTTTCAAGATAAATACTGTAAAATGGTTGTCTGGTGTTCAAACCAAACATGAGGCACAGGGGAGAAGTAAGAGAAGTTTTCCTCATTTAATTCATTTTGGTTTTGTAATCAAGATTACTTCTCTCATTCAGGACTGCTTTTCTTCATTCAGAGTAAAATGTTTGCATATTTGTTTCTCATTAAACTGCTTCTAATTCAAAATTTCCCTTGTCTTTTCAAAGAAAAGACTTGGGTGATTTTACTCTCCGCATGTTGTTTAGTTTTCTTAGTTCTGTTAGTATTCTTAGTGTGTGCCTTGTGCAATGAACAATTGTGTAGGCAGAATCAGAAAGCAACAGGTTATAGCATACATGGACATTTGGACCCTAAAATTAATTCTCTTCATCACATTTGCATTCTGGAGTGTCATGAGTTGGAATCCATTGTAGCTGCAGATTGGTTTTGACACGCAAATTAGCATGAATGTAATTATATCTGTTTAATGAAGTTTTACAACTGCGACTCTTCTCCTGCAGTCTGCTTCTTTATCTCCCTGTTTTTTCCAAATACCTGAAGGGTTTTAGCTCAAGTAGCAGCTAATGGTACTCTCTACTGAATTAAACATAATCACAGTAGGTTCAAAATGAGCTAATTCAAACACACAATATTTTTGGAAAGGTGTATCAATCTTAAAGTATTATTACATTAATAATTTCTCCAGATATTTTGAAGATTTATTTTTGGATTTATTGAGCCTGTGTTTAATAAAACATTCTTTTTCCTCACAAATAGATTTTCCTTTACCATATCAAGCGGAATTCTTCATAAGGAACATGAATGTAGAAGAAATGTTAGCAAGTGAAGTTCTTGGTGACTTCCTTGGAGCAGTGAAAAATGTATGGCAGCCAGAACGCTTGAATGCTATAAATATTACTTCAGCCCTTGACAGGGGAGGGAGAGTTCCACTTCCAATTAATGACATGAAAGAGGGGTAAGCATGTGTCAGTATGATGTTTTTGCTTCACTATTTTTTGTTGTTGTTGCTGTTGTTACTGAGAAGCCTAATATTTTTTCAAGTTTTTTAGAAACTTGGCAATTGCTGTTTTATGTTTTGGAATTAGATATGAAAAGTTTATTCATGGTCTGAGCCCCAAGTTTATTGTGTTAGAAACCATGACAACAGTGCAGAGTTCCTATATATTGATGTTGTAATCCAAGGAATACTAATAAATTCCATTAACTATAATTGGTAGTAAATATGGGGTTTTTTGTAATCCCAGTTTTACTTCTGAGCAGTCATTTGACATGCTTTTCAAGTTTTTAACTCTTCCAAATTCATTAAGCTCAAAATTTTGAAGCAAGTTCTGATAGAGAAGAGATTGCAGAGATGCTTCAATTTCTGAGAGCAGTTAGCATGTAACAGTGTAATTTTTAGCTGCGCTCATGCTGAGTTAGTTATTTGATTCAAGAGCAGTTTTGACTTTCCTCTGAAAGTTGTAAAGTGTCTCGGGAGCTCAGTTTACTGAGTGTAAACTGCTGGAATGGATTGTTTCCGTTTGTGATTTGTAACCATAAATACTGTTCTAAACAGTATTTAACTGGAAACTAATAAGGATCCAGTTTTTTCAAATATGGTTTTGACAGTGCTTTTCTCTGGTGAAAATGAAGATGCTTAGTTACTTTTAGATTATTTTAGATATTTTGGAATCAAATAGTATCTAAGAAAGGGATGAAGGTTCAGAATACGAGATGTGTGCAGAAAATACTGGCTTTTTCAGAATCGTTTTGTGTCTCTGGAGTTTTTGAGCACATTTAAAGAAGGAAAGTGACTTCTGTACTAGCCAGAGTAATAGCAGTCACTTAATACCAATGACTACACTTCAAATATTTAAATAATGCCTACTGTAACAAATGGCAGCCAGGACCTAATTTCTGTTTCAACATCCATTGGTACATTATAGCCTGGTGCAGCAGACTGTATTTTACACACAGCGTAGTAGCTCTTATTTTATGTATATGATGCCTTGAGAAGGCTGACCTAGAACAGAGGCTAGACAGAGTTAAGAATAAAGCAGGTATTTACTGAAAGGCCTTAAAGGATACACCTTGGGCAGTACAAGAGCCTGGCCAGGGCTGCACTCAAGATGGACCCAAAATGGTCACAAAATGGACAACTGGTCATGAGATCTCACAGTTTTATAAGTTTTGGTCTATCTTTATATTGAGGTTAATTGTCCAGTTATAGCTTCAGGTTATGAAGTCGCATCCTTCTTGTTTTCTCTCTTCAGTCCACCGTTTAGGCTTTTTACAGTTGTTTCAGGAGCAGAAGCTTTGTTAACTCTGGAGTAGTGAATCCAGGGTCCTTTGCCAGCATCTTAAGGCATCATATGGTAATGGTAAATCAAGTATTTAGGTTTACCTTCAGCTTTCAGTATTCTGAAGCAAATTTTGTTTGCTGTGCATAGCTACAGTATGGAACCTTTCAGAAGAAACTGGGGGTTAGCATGGTCATAGCTGTATTAGGTTTAGCAATAACTAGTCATTGTGAATCTATTCTGAAAACATGGGAGGAATCTCTAAAAAATAAAGATTTCCTTAAAAAAAAATGCTACTATTTTAATACAATTTTCAAAAATGGTACTGATTTACTTACATGAGGAAGCCACACTTGGAGATCTTTGACTTCATAGAAATTGGCACCACTGATAGTAATAAAACATTTGCATTAACAAGCGAACCAGAAAATGTTGTAATAACCAGCTAGGAAAGTCCTTCTGATTTCAGTCTGTTATTTGTATGCTTAAAGATATAAAAGTATACTATGAAGAAAAATTATTTTAAAAAGTAATTTCAATCTTTAAATAACAGCTGAATGTTACTGTGTACAGCAATAATGTTTGGAATAGTACAACATTGTCCTTTGGGGATTTGTGACACATCCTGCTGCTCTGTCACTCATCTCTTTCTGCAGTGTGTACGTGATGGTTGGGGCAGATGTTCCTTTCTCCTCGTGTTTACGAGAAGTGGAAAACCCACAAAATCAGCTGAGGTGCAGTCAAGAAATGGAGCCTGTAATAACCTGTGATAAAAAATTTCGTACTCAATTCCATATTGACTGGTGTAAAATCTCTCTGGTGAGTTATTTTATTATTGCATAGAAGTGATGTTTGTAGAAGTACAGGTAAGAGTTTTGCCAGTCTGGTCAGCCAATGTTGCCAATTCCACTTTATTGTGACTGATATTTTTTTCCGTCTAGCAGACACTCTTAACCTGAAGGATTTTGCTGTGCAGGCTAAATTCTGTTAGAGTTGAGCTCCAGTGAAACCACTGTATTTGTTTTCACTAGCAGTAAATTCTATAAATGGCCAGAGAGCTCCAAAGCTTAAAAATCGAAAAGTAATGAGAGGTTCATTACTCAGTTACTGAGTTCAGTAATTCAGAATGCTGATCCTGCTGGTTACATTTCCCGAAAAAGTGTGTGCATACATACATCTTTTCTCAGGTACTGATTCTACATTGACCAGTTAATACTACACTGTTAAAAAACTGTTCCTGAAAATTGTCTGTTTTATTTATGTCTCTGTTTTATGTTAAAAATTAAATAGAAAAAGGAATGAAAGTAATGTTGACTAATTAAATAATAAATAGGAACATTCTTCTCAGTCAGATGCAAGAAAAATGATAACCAAAAACTAGAGTATTTAACATGAAAGGAGAATAATTCCCAGAGAGACTTTTTAAGTTGTTTTGTTTTAGTTCCCATAAGAAAGATCAAGAAATAATGCAAAGAGAATGTTGCAGATAAATCTGAACAATGACAGTGAAAGAATATAAAATAAACTTAGATGGTTGTTAAGCTGCTTCAGATATTACCCAGGAGGAAGCTGAAAGGGAGATATTAAACACTGGATGGAAAAAACTTACTGAGTATAAGGAAAGGCATTCATACACAAAATTGATTGGATAACTTCCAGTCTTTTCTGCCTATTCACTCTAAATTAGGAAAGGTTCTAGAACGTTGGAAAATACATGTTTCAAAAGCATACCCAGATTATTTGCTTTTTATTTGCTTTCTGTTGTGAAATTGTAAAAGGCCCAAGTGCACACAGCAATACTTACCAGCACCTGAAAAATAGCAGAAGGCAGCTGGTATTTGGAAAGACTTGACTTTGTCAAGTCTTCCATTTCCATCTACAAGGAAGAAGTAGAACCAAGGTGAAAATGCAAATGTCATTCCTTCTTGGTAAGGTTTTTTTGTACTGTCCACAAGCAAGCTCAGGAACACGGCCTAGATGAATCTAGAACCTAGTGGAGAGCTGGTTGGTGGCCATAATCATAGCAGAATTAATAATAATTCCTGGCTATTCCTCATTAATAGCTGGATGATGGAATGTGCATATTAAATTAAATTTGTAGTTCCCCATGAAGTTGAAAGGATCTGCAGGTGCATTGAAGGACATGATGGAATTCAGAAACATCTTGAGAAATTGGAGAAACAGTCTTGGAAAACAGGATGAATTTTAAAAGAAGCAGCAGAGGAATAATGCACTAAAGCAAGAATAGTCAGCAGTGCCCACACAGAAGGAAAATAAACTGGTTAGGAGTACTTCTTCAGAAAAAAAATGCCTGAAAGTGGCAGTGGCTCATAAACTAATCATGAAGCAGCATGGTCATGCTGGTTTGAGAAAAGCAGAGATCACCCTGGGATGTGTAACAGGAACAGGCTTTCAGAGAAGTGTTATTTTCTGCAGCAGCTATAACACGGTCTTCTGGAATTTAGCACTTGTTTTGGCTGTGTGCCACAGTAACTGAATTTAAACTATCTCAGGGGTGTTTATTGTTGCCAGCAGCATTTCTGGTGTAACCTGCTGCATCAAAGAGAAAAGGGAGCCAAGCTTCCCTCTATCTAATCACAATCTGCTTTCTCAAGGCAAGCTGAGAGACAGGAATTCTTCCCAGATCTATGGGCTGTGAGGGAGTTGAGGTGTGTTTCCCATATCCACAATTTAAACAAGTGATAGAAAGTAGAGCCATCATATCCTCATCCTCATATTGTTTATGAGCTGGTGTTGGCAGTTAGCACCCAGAGAATGGATTTAAGTTTGGGGGTCCCACATTCTGCAAGGATGGACAATTTAATAAGTGTTCCACTTGAGGCTGCTCTCTGACAACTTCTTCTCACACTGTGTATGGGACTGTCAGTCACATCAGTAAGTACGTACTTCTTGTGTGTTGTTAGGGTTTGAGATTCAGCTAAGCAGCCAGGTATAACTCAGTGTACCTGACAGAGAAGATACTCTGGAATTAATGAGCAGAGATAATTAATTTTTGTTTAACAAACACATATATATGTGTGTGTGTGCACGTGCATTTGAGGCTCAGCGGGATTTCTGGAATTTCATAAAAATCTCTTCACCCATTCAGCCTAAGCTGGAATACAGCATTTTATGACCTGAAGTGTAAGTGATAAAGAAGTGCATCATTTGCAAAATTTCTTAATGAAAAGACAGACAAAAGGTCAAGCATGTGAGCAAATATATTTTATTTGTTTTAATGATCTGGAGATTAATGATCTTAAAGCTAGCACTGGTAAAATTTGACAGTAACATCTAACTGAAGATAACAAAAAAATGAATGCAGAAAATTAAGTCATCTGGGAATGGCAGTCCAAAGCAATAGGAAATTTAGCAGCAAAACAGGTTTGTATTTCTAGGATCATTGAGTATGGTCACACACACAAAAATTGTGAGCAGGAATAGAGCTTTTGGAGACTAATTTAATTTGTGTGAGGGAGACAATGAGCTGTCCTCGGCAGCTCAGTTGATGGCTCTTGATTTTTTGAGCCCTGGATGTAAAGTGTGATATGAAGGAGAAGGAAGAACATTGTAGCTATGTGACTTCATTTTTGCCACATTTATGTAAGAGAAGACAGTATTATTATTTAGGAAGACTAGTAAGAAATGGATTAATTAATCAAAAAGAAATCAGAATGAGTTAATTAGGTTGCACTAAAAATGTTTACTGAATTAGTACTCAAATACTGTTTGTCTGACATATGTCTAATATTAATCTGTCAAAGACATGGTATCTCTGGTAGGCACAAAAGAGTGTAGTAATATTATAACATTACTTATTACATTGATCAGAAGCTTCATAAAATGAAAACTTCTATTATTTAAAAAAAGTGGTAGGATTAAATCATATAGAATTTGTAAAATGTGTAATATGGTTATTTTTGTAATACCTGCCTATTTTTACATTCTGTTAATTTGCTATTTAATTGTGGGTTTGTTTTTTTTTCCTTTTTCTGTTTTTTTCCTGGGTAACAGGTTGACAATACAAAACAAGTTTCCACCTTTCAGGAAGTGATTCGTGGAGAGGGAATATTACCTGATGGTGGAGAATACAAGCCACCTTCTGATACACTGAAAAGCAGAGACTATTACTCGGATTTCCTAATTACACTGGCAGTGCCCTCGGCAATAGCACTGGTGCTTTTCCTAATACTTGCTTATATCATGTGCTGCCGACGGGAAGGAGTGTGAGTACTTTAACATGCTAATAAGTAACTCTTCATTTTTCTAAGATTATAATGCATAGAAGGTTATTTGCTAGAATATCTCCATTGAGTTCATTATAAACATTTAAAACAGGCTAAAAGGTATCTGCTTGTAATTCTGAACTATTTTACACTTAAGCACATGCACTAATTTCCAAGCAAGTGGATGTAGGGCCTTTAGTTGTTCTAGAAAGGGTTAAAATACTCAACATATGCACAAAACTCCTCAAAATGTGCACAGCTCTCAAAAATGCCCCCAGCAAATAAAATACTAATAAAGGATCATTGGTTCAGGAAAATATTAAGTAATTTTTAAAATTGTAACTTTCATAACATAAACCTGGTTGAGGAGATTAACTGAATTAAGACATATTATCAAAGAAAAACACATAAAGGGAAAGCAGCAAGTAACGTGATTTCTGCCATTTCTTACACAAACTACAATTTCATTTTGTCACAGAATTTATTTTAGCCAGAAGCTTGTTCTTTAACCTGCATTTTTCATTTCCCTGTGTGTGTGTCTGTGTGTTTCTGTCACCACTATCACATCTCTCTACGTGCGTTCATCAAGGCCTCATCATAAACCCCGTTAAATGCTGCCAAGTTGCATTTAGCAATAACCTTGTCAGCATTTCCACATCATGTACTGTTTTCATCATCAGATAGATTAATGTTCCAACTATCAATGCTATTATTTAATTCATAAATTTTGTTTTGTTTTTAGGGAAAAGAGAAACATGCAAACACCAGAGTAAGTGTCTTCTTTCCTGTTATTTTTCTTTTACCATTTAATTTTCATTCTCAGTAGCTCGTCATGCTTCATACATATGTGTCATAATCTTTCATTCTCTCAAATTCATGGTTTAATTCATAAATGTGAAAGCTGCTTTTAAATCAGAATATTGGTAAGGATAGAAGACCAGAATAAAAAGGGTTTGAAATTAAAGACGGTCAATTCAAAATAAAATAGTGCGGTTAGAATAAATATGTTAATATGCAATTAATACTCCTGGTTATTGGACTTTCCAACTTGTCTTTTAAAGACAATGAAAAGGAGAATAAATATCCTGGAAGGTAACCAGTGCCTATAATATGGAGTGTTTTAAAATTAATTTACAAGCTTTTATGAATCTACCACAAGAATCAAGAGTTAACCAAAACTTTAACTGCAGGAAATAAATGAAACATCAGCCACAAACTACACAGTCTTGAATCCTATGAAAAATATCTATTCAGACAGAAAAATCTAATGGAATAATTACTGCCTTAAAAAGTTAAATAAATATTTATTAATTTAACTATGTGAAGGTTGTAATTGTTGCACTGTAGTCTGTAGCATGCATCAAAGTCCTTGTACTTTAATAATAATAATAGAAAAATTCTCTCTTTTGATAGAGCACTTAAAGTATGTACTCACTGTTTTATTTTCTTCTGACACAGCATCCAGCTGGTGCACCACAGTGCTATACAGAAATCCACCAAAGAGCTTCGTGACATGTCCAAGAACAGAGAGATCGCGTGGCCGCTTTCCACGCTGCCCGTGTTTCACCCGGTGACAGGCGAGATCGTCCCGCCCCTGCACACAGACAGCTACGACAACACCAGCATGCCTCTGATGCAGACACAGCAGTAAGTGTTCACACTGGTTCTTAATGCTCACTGTGCTGCATGACCTAACTAGATTCCAGTGCTTGTCCTCCAAAATGTGTTCATTATGGGAGGATTCAGTAATGACTCTCTATTCAGGATTGCTCTGATGTTTGCATTTCCAGCAGGATGAAAGGCCTTCTGTTGTAAGATTAAATGGCTGGCTTTCAGTCTGCAAGCTTGCAAGAGGCTTGGCATGGGACAGTTAATTTCTGCATGTTTTGGAGAAAAACTGCTTTTGACAGAGGAATCAATTAGAACTGTTCTATTTTAGACACCTTGTCTCTTGACCCATATTTTTGGGGTTCTGATTTCTGGGTTTCAAATCCAGACTTTGTAAGTTAGTCATGTACCTGTCACACATGGTTTGTGTTTGAAATGTTGACACTGAACGGAAGAACATACTCCATTGCACAGCTAATAAATTCAGACTTGTCAAGAAAAATGCTCATAGCGCTCTCCCATTTCCATTGTTGCCACTCTTTCCAAGAAGAAACCAGAAAAAAAATTAATTCCCGTTCCTTAGAGTTCATTTATCAGTAACGTAGTGAAATTAGTAAGGCAGACTCAATGCTTTGCACATGTTCTAATTCAGACAAGTCCATAGAGCTGTAGCAAAGAGGCATTTCTGGGAAGGTTTGGTTAAGGTGCCTGGGGCTGAGCAGATCTGGGGCAGTCTCAGAAGGCTCAGAAGTGGTTGGTATTCTCCAGTGCTGTGTTTTAACACCAGCTCCAGCTGGTACCTCCTCTGCTGGCAGGCCTGCATGGCCCCAGTGGTACTGGTCCTGTACCAGCTCTAACTCAGCCCTAATTTACACATGCTAGTCCTAAATTCTCTTCACAATGTAGAGCCCTGCTGCAGGAGTGTTTTCTTCTCCCTGTCCCAAAAGCTAAATTCTCCAGAAAGGACAGCTGTATAAATTATTCCTTGTACAAGTGCTGCAAAGTGCTCTGCTTCATCTTTTACAGCTTCTCTTCTATATTCAGAATAACAGTTTTTATGACTGGGGTGTCAGATCTTGTACCAAAGGCTTTCTTGAGTTGTACATAGGGTATTTATCTGCTTCACCTACATTGTAACCTTTCTGTAAAAACACCTCTATCTGGTAGCTGTTAAAATAGACACTTTAGCAGAGCACAAAAATGAAACTGCCTTGATAAGTGAACTGGTCTGACACGAAGAAGTAACTGACCATTCATTCATTCCACAGCCAATAACTATGTTGCAAATGCTGTCACCTTTGCTGTAGTCATGGAATATGGAATATTCACTTAGAGAAATCAAACTGCTGAACTTCAAAACCCATGGTGACTCTTGTTGCCTCTGGCATTCCACCAAGTCTGAACTTTTGAATGTAGCTGACAAATGCAATAATAAGAACTACTTTCACACTAATTGTCTTTATTTCATGGTCTTGGCTAACGTTTGGACATCTGTATTTGCATAGTGAAAAAAGATTATTGCTTCATAAGAAAAAAAAAAAAGGAAGTGTAAATACTGAGCTTTTGTCATAATACACTTCAGACTTTGTATGGAAGCATTAAAGATATTAAATGGTTTTTTATAGGAACCTGCCACATCAGACTCAGATTCCACAGCAGCAGAGTGCAGGTCAGTAAATACTCAGAAAAATACTCAGAAAATACTGTAATTATTCAGTGACCAGTGTGGAGAAAACACTAGTCAAAATGTATACAGTCTGTGGACAGTGAAAAGAATTTGCAAATAAAGTATCACAGAATTGTCATTTTAGAATTTTTTTTTTTTTACATCAGTGAAAATTTTGGCATGGGATTGATTAAAAAAGGAAGAAATGCTATGTTAGGACTCTGCATGAGAGGCTGGAATTTGGTTCAGTTAACTTAGAAATCTCATATAAATAATCTACTGTTACATGAAGCTACAGCCAGATTCCCAAAGGCAATCACATGGTTCAGATTCTGACACTTGATAGGAAATTTAAATTTGTAATTCTCACCAGTATTAGTAAAGCTTTGAAGGAGCTCTTAGTTGCAGTTACTAGACATAATGTATTGGTACTGGGGAATCTGTGGTGAGGCACATCCATGCTTCAGGTTTCCTGTGTCACAGTCATCACTTTTATATCATTCTCACAAATGCTCATGAACAGGCTGAGGTCAGAGTGACCATCAGACTGTGGACTAAGGCTGACTGTCCTCTCTACTTAGCATCTCAGGTTTGAGAAAAACCTACAGCCATAGCCATGTGAAAGGGGGTGAGGACCACACAGGGAAAAAGTAGAGGCCAAGTGTAATTTTTAAATATTCAAAGAGGTATTTAATCAAAACTCTAGAGAGATACGTATGTTTTGAATGTAATATGGGAACTACAGCTCCAAGCAGATTTGTTTTAACTCAGGACTTACATAAGCAGCTTTCTTTTCATTGAAAATCCTTCTTCTTCATTACTGCTTTCGGGGATTAAAGGAGAATTTCGTATGACAACATTTCAAAGATTTGAGGCAAGTATATAATAGATGTTTCTCTCCATGCGGGTTTTGTTATGTGAAAATTAAAAACACAGGTACAAAAAGTCTGACAGCAGTTCTGGCAGCTTTGCCATTTGTGTTCTGCATTGTACATATGCTGGAAATGGTGGATGACCCTGGCAGTCAAAGCCTTGATCCAGGGCCTCCAGCAATGGGTTTACATTTAGCACAGCTCTTCTCACTCACACTGTTTAGAAGGTAGAATCAAAGTGTCACATAGTGCTGCTCCTCTGCTATGACTGTTTCATTTCAAGAATTGCAGTCTGTCTTGCAGCAAATAAGATGCAAAATCACCTGGTAATACTGTACAGTGGCAGCAGTGAGGCATTTCTGCAAAGGTACGAAATACAAACTAGCACGGGTCTGTCACTTTTGAGTTGCACTGAAAAACTGCCCTAAAATTAGATCTTTAAAATTCTCCTGTGTCTGTATTTTCTGCAATACATTATTTTTGTAGAATACAACTGTTCTTTCATATTAATCACAGATGCTGCCTGTGACAAGCTCTCAGAAATCCAGGGGGGCAGGTGGTGGAATGTATTTGGGACAGAGGGCGTTTCCTCCTCTTCCTTTGGTTTATCATAACACCTTGCTTTGTGGCTCATATGTGCAGGTGACCCTGCAAGCCCTTCCATGACATGATGGCATGTGCCTTTTGCAGCTTTTCTGAAAGGATATCCATAACTCCTTTTGCCAGAATGTTAGCTTTTCAGGAAGCTGTGATTTAAAACAAACTTCAGGCACTCCTAAGAGTTTTTTAGTAGCATGAATACAAACCTAGCCATCAATTTTATTGATCTGTTCAAGTAAGAAATTTGCAGAAATAGAATAAGGCCAAAAAACCTATAGAATGAGACTTTAATTGTTAAATTTTCTTCCTTTCCTCACAGTAATATATTCAGGGAATTTAACATACTATCAGTCACAGCTGTGAATAAGAAATTTTTATTTTAAATCTTCAGTAGATTGTATTTAGTAATTTGAAAAGCAGACCATGGATAATAACTGTTGTCCACTTCAGGAATTATCTGAATCCCCAGTAAGGAATAGTTTTATTTTAACCTTATATAAAAAGGCAGACTTAATAGCTGACATAATGCTTGACTTTTTCACAAATTAAAATTGGGAAAGAATTATGTAAGAGATGACAACTCCCATCTAAGGTTTATTACACTGATGCAAATTGCTACTGGTCTGCATTATGAACAGATACATTAGGTTTTATAATTGTCTCTCTGTCAATAGGCAGAATTCACAAGCACTGTTAAAGGTGCTTAGATGAAAAAGCTTTTAGGGTATTCCTATAAGTAGAAGACTAAATATTGCATGTACACTATGTTCCACCTTTTCTGTTTTGTGCCTCAGCCTCCCTATGAAGCCTGTTAGATCCCCCCAAATAGAAAGATAAATTCCCAGTTAATCTTTTCCCAGCCCTCTCCCTTCCCAGAAGAATGCTTTGTCATGTGTTTGTCATCTTTTCATCCAGGTTGTACTTGGAGTGTTTCTCCCAGGTGGTTGTTGATAAAGGAATAATAAATACTATTTATGTGCTGTGCTCATAACTTGACAGTTGAGTACTGTTGAAGCATCATGTGTGACTGATGGATTATATAAATTCTCATCTATTTGCAGGTAAATGGTATTCCTGAGGAAAGAAAACTAACAGAAGCAATGAATTTGTAATCCAAGAAGGCAGCAAATTGTCTCACTTCCTTATTTGTTCTGGTTGATGCATGAGTTTTTCTGGTGTATATTGTGCATGCCCACAGTATTATGATGCTTTCAGTGCCAGGAGTACAATCACTTCCATATAACTGATGTACTGTATCCTTTTGTACTTTGGACATTTTTGACAATTTGTAAACACTTATATAACTTTTTATATTTGTTACATTCTGAAAGTAATCTTTAATGTATATATATACATATATAGATGTATATGTATGTATATATATATGTGTGTATTAATAAATATCAAGCTTTATTCTGTCTTGTGATCTCTCCTGAAAGTTTTAACAGGGAAATCAAAACTTTAGAGATTCAAAGGATTTCAGACCGTTAATGGGATGCTATAATTACCTAACATTTGCACAGGAAAAGCTGTAGTGGACAAGCATGAAAACTTGTGCAACATGATGAGGCTCAGAAATAGTACTGCACATATATTAGGTATTAATTTTTTAGAGATTACCAAATATAATGAGGAAAATTATTTTTAAAAAATAAATAAATAACCCCCCAGAGAAAATAACTGAACTACTCATGATAAAAATTGGATTTTTGCTCTTTTACCAGATATTTATGCTATTTCAGATCTTGTAAGCAATAAAGCATTTAAAATCTGTCCATTCATTCATCTGGTTATATTAGTAGAAACTGTTACAAACTAGTGTAGGTAAAACTTAATGCCTGCATTAAATAATAATAATAATAATAAACAAGGGTTTAATTTGGTACAGTATACTTGGACTAAGTCTTTAAAAACACTCTTAATGTTTTATTTTTTTTGTGATATTCCCAATAAACAACCCCAATGCTGTTTATTTTTTATATCCTCCACATTTTTTTTTTCATTTTTGGAGCAAAAACTGTTGTGGGAGAATTACATATCCAGTAAACCAGGGATTATATTTTCACATCTTGAAAAGGACTTGATTAAAGGCATACTTTGCTGGGAAGTGGTTTCTTTGAGAGGCATTCGTCTATGCAGCTGAAAGCTCAGTAATATATGGACTTTGCTAAAAGGATCTGAACTGGGGTTTCCATTGTTTTCAATAGACAACTATAATTCACCTACTGACACTTTTCACCAGATTTTAAATGAATTTCTGATGCTTCTTTAAATCTTCAAATTTAAGGACATCACACAGGACTTCAGGGTCTGCAGCTGTAGCAGCTGACATCAAGAGTTTCTTGGGGTTTTACCTCAAAGCATGGTATTGTTTTAAGCTGACACTTACACTTTGTCTTTTTTTCTGTAATATTTTCTCTTTCAGAAGCTGTATGTTCATCAGGACATTGCATTGTAAGCAGAAAACTGCGTCTGCTTTAAAATTGCTAAGTGCTGGCTACATTTCCTTAGCTGAGGTTCCTGAAGTCTCTGCTAAGAGAAATTTGAGTAGTTTTGGAATTTAAGACTAAGGATAAAAGGAATCTGTAAAATGAGGTCATTTTGTATAAAGACCAAAATAGTTGCTCTTGTTTTTGTGGTTTTTTGTTTGTCTTTGTTTTTCTCTTTTTACAGTTATGACCCAGTTCTGTCAAATAACAGAACCTTAATTTACCTTAATTTTTAAGCACCATTGACGTGTTTGTAGGCTTGGACCTGAACGCAGGATCTCAGCAGATAGAACAAGTCCTGTGCTGCTTAGACTAATTTTGAGCACCAACTATGGCAGCAAAGTATATAAGCAGTGCTCAGTATGTGGTACCTACTTGTATATTGTCAGACCTTCAGAATCAAGAAGGTCTGACAGCACACCAGACGTGGCAGCAAATCCTGCTGGTGGTTGTTAGACCAGGAGAGGTAGCTCAAGCTACAGGCATTCAAGCTGAGAAATTAAAGGCAGATCATGAAACAGGTGGAATAAAGAGCCATTCTCTACTCACTTTCCAAGTGGCATCCATCATGCCTTCCTACCTCATCCAAAAGATAACAGGGAAGAGACTTCACCAGTCAATCAGCCTCCTCAGAGGCACTCCCCCTTCTTTCCAGCAGCTTGGATGGTTATCAGTGAAAAGCCAATCACAAAAATGTACACTGAGGTTTACAGCAAACTAAACATTTTCATCTCTTACCCAAGCTGAAAAAAAAACTGAAGTACAATCAGCATTTAGGTTCTATTAGTTTATACTACTATTTTCAAATGTATCAGCTGTCAGTGTTTTGAAACCAAAATGAATGGAATGGATTTTAAATAATGATTTTTAATGCAACGTAGGATTTAAACTTTGTAAATAGTTCTGGGTGTGGATCATAGTAATTTCTGATAACTCCAGGATGACATGACAATCAATGGATCTACCAGTTGAGCTGCTCCCACCTTATTTGTACTAATGTAACAGTGCTGATATATTTAAGGAAATGAACTGTTACATACATGCATAAAGAATCTGTTTGTAGCAGTGGAGGCTCCACCTATTTTGAAAATAACCTAAGGATGTAGGTTGGCTATTAAGAACCTGAACTATTTTATGATTGAAATCTTCATTTATCTGAGGTAAGTTTAATAACAAATTATTTATTTTTGGTTATTAAACAATTACTCTGAAAGCATAGATTTATAAAGCTGGTTAAAGACAATGGCTAAGGAATTATTAGTAATTAAGACAGTAAATTCACAGCCTCTTTTAACATTATATGATAGCAATATGAATTGATATTGTATTAAGTTTCAACCAAATTAAACAGAAAGCCCTACACATCTCTTTGTACATACATGAAATGTATAATCTAATAAAACAGAAAACACAAAGTAGTGAAGTTGTTGCCTGATTATTTTACAAAAGGGTGCCTAAACAACATTGTTACAGCTGATAATTTTCCAGCCACAATACTGCACGGTCAGGTCTGAGACCTGGGCTAGAGCTAATGGTGCGGGGTTTGTTTAACTGGGGATAAGGCCTGACTAGATGCCCTCACTGGAGAGGGTTTGCCACACTTAATATCTAATGTGGGCCCCTGAACTTGATTCTCCCTGCTGATAAAATCAGGAGCTTTGGGGAGCACAGAATATGCTGAGTTGGGAAGGGACTCATCAAGATCATCCAAGTCCAACTCCCAGCCGTGCACAGGACCATCCCCAAGGGTCACAGCACGTGCCTGAGAACATTGTCACAATGCTTCCTGGACTCTGGCAGCTTTGGTGCTGTGACCACTGCCCGGGGGAACCTGTTCAACCACCCTCTGGGTGAAGAACCTTTTTCCTGATAGCCAGCCTGAACCTCCTGACACAATTTCAGGCTATTTCCTTGTGTCTTGTCATTGCTCACAAGATTAATGAGATTGGTACTTCCTTTGCTTAAGGATCCCCTTCTACTGCGAGTGGGATTTAAATAGCTCAAGTAATTCTGTAACTCAAGCAAGTCTTGAAGATGAGCTTGGTTTCTTGATGTTGCCAGACCAAAGAAAGAAAAGCCAAGTCAGTTCCTCTGCTTTCCTGCAGAGCTCTGCTGCAGAGTTCCTGGCAGGGAAAAGTACCCGATGCCTCTGCTGCAGAGCTCTTCTGAGAGCCCCCGAGCTTTGGCTACTGGAGCTGTAATTTCATCAGAGCAGTGCAATTTACTGCAGAGCAGTCTTCCTGCATTGCATCTGCCTTAGTTTGTGATACAGTGAACTGCAGCACAGCTAGAGACAAGCAAGAGAGAGCTTTTACTTAAATGATGCTGCTGCCATTACAAAAATAAGCATCCACAGCACATTTATTTAATGTTTAAATTACTTCATATTTTTACATAACCTGAAAAGAAAATATATTTATCCCACATACAGTAAAAGTAAACAAGTGCATTATTTCAAACATTAAAAATAAATCTTTTAACCAAGTCTGTACAACAGATAAATAGAGTTATATCTACAATAGTTATGTTGTGAAGAACAAAACAAAAATTATCCCTCAAGCTCACAGTTCCCTGTTGCTCATAATACTGGCATAGATGAAGGTTATGCTTGCTTATCCCCCACTACAATGTCCACCTACACCCTTTCATTCGGTCACTCACATGTATTGATCGATGAGGTTAAATTCCCAAGCACTGGAAGCGATATGCTATGCACACAGAACAAACAGCTGAGTATCTGTCCGGTATCTTGAAAACAGCTGGCAGGCTTAGTAAAACTGCTGAATTTGGGGGAAGTGAATGATTTCTTTGTTTTTTATGATGAATGACTGACTGGTCATTCTTTGAAAGAAACTGTTCTCCATCACACACAAGAATAAATTTCAATAAAAATTGAACTAATTATTTTCATAACTTTGTTTTGCATTCATTCATGGCTGCAAGATTGAGTTCAATGTTTTACCTGGGATAAGAACAAAAACATGCATGTGACAGTATATATGGTACAAATTAGGATGATGTTGTTTATAATCATACATAATTGCACATATGTTTGGAAAATAATATTGTGTTCGTATTTTTGACAGCTAACAAGTAATCAGAAGAATAAAATGAAAAAGCTAAGAGGTCAAACTATTACTTGAATCAAACCCACAACCAACCAAGAAATGTCCATAACTTCACTGCTAAGTAGAATGTAAACAACAGCTTGTCTCTGCCACACTGAAGGACTATTTCTTTCAATTATAGGGTTTTTGCTAAAGGAAAAAATTAGTAAGAAATATTGGCCACTGCTGAAAAGGATGGGAAAAAAGTTTTCTCCAAACAGCTCCAATCTGATTTCACTTGTAATTCTGAGACTCAACCATCTGCATGCAACAAAGCTGACCACTCAATCCCTCCTGCTCATGATACCAACAGACTGACTAGCATCCTCTTAAATGAAAATGTTATTACAGCATAGAATATGGCAGCAGTTCCCTAATGAGACCTAATTCAAGGTCACCTACAAACACAGGGAGACTGTCAAAGATCACAGTTCCCCTAAGATCTAATGGAGTGGGTATGATAGGATTCCATCTGACTGAAAAAGCCTGGAGGGTCTTCCAAAAATTTCCCATCTTGAACTGAGTCTCTGAAAATTATTCATTTGTTTGCTCACTGGGATTATACACAGAACTACACACAGTTAAATGAACTAGTGAAAAATTTATGAAAAAGCAAACAATTTTAGGAAGAAAACACAAATTCTCTTTATAAAAAGATTTTGTGTCAGGATTCATCATATTTGCTGAACACATGTTAAATTTCTAAAAAACCCCTCATAAAACTTTATGTAAACTTGTATATAATCTTCAATCACTGAATTGATAATTACTTTTTACTTCCACATCCAAAGGGTTTCATATAACATATTTCCACCCCAAACACTAATTTCTAACCAGCAAATTACCCCTTTGTTCAGAACAATGCCCTGGCCTCACTGCCTCAGCCGCGGGCGGCGGTTGCGGAGGCTCCGGGCTGTGCTGGGCGTGCTCCGTGCCGCGTGCGCTGAACGGCCTCTCGCCATGGGCTCGCCCAGTGCCAGCTGAATCCCGTCATGTGCCCGTGATACTGCTCAACCACTGCACTGCTTCACGTCTCCTTTCAACAGATATGTAAACAGCAACAAACATCCAGTAGAAAAGACTCATTTTCACATGCAATTCTGTACAGTGCACTCTTGTTTCTCAGATTATTTGAGAAGGCTATTTCCACACAAAATATGTACATTTCCACTATATACATTTTTCACACGCTTAATTTAAATGTCTTCTTGTACCTCCAGTTGAGAATTTTTGTTCAGGCAGACACAAAGTAAACCTGAAGAAAGTTTCCAAGTTAATGCCTTGACTGATCTTGCATTGCTGAGAAGAAGTGTAGTCCAGAAAAAAATCCAGCTATGCATAGCATCCTTTTCAGCAGAGTTGAGTTATCTTTAGGAACCACAATCTGTGCAAGATCATTAGTGATCTGAGAAATCTCATGTGCCACGCACACAAATATGAAAGTGCTGACAAGAACATTAAACATTGGATATCCAGGAATGAGCACCAAGATCCCCTTTGTGTCTGCTGCCAGCCAAATATGGTATTGGCAAATGAAAAGCTAAAAGAAAAAAAAAAAAAGTGTTTAGCAGTACTTATATATGTAAATATTTTACTTACTAAACCCCATATAGTTATTACTATTGCATCAACCGACACACTTTTGCTTAAGTTAAAAGCTGCTTTCTACATGTTTTTGCTACAAAACAAAACCATGAGCTTGTTGAATCACATAGTGAAATAGGTTTTCTTGGCCCTTAACCAAATGCACACTGGATACATTCCATGAGAGCAGGGAAGAATCTGCCTCCCGCAGTTACTGTCTCTGGTGAGGGTCTGAACAGACATGCCTGCAAATAAGGGAGAATGCTTCACCTGCTGATGGGTGCACAGCTCCCTGGAGCTGATCAGCACCTAAAGCCCACCAGGAATTGGAAGAGTGACATGAGATCCTTAAAAAAACCCATAAAATCCTGTACTCTATAAACACTGTACTGCAATGAGTTTCTCCTAGAAATATATTTTAGTAATACAGTACAATGCCACATTTAGTAT